GTACGTCGTTCCAAAACCTGCAAAAAAATAAATAAATAAATCGAGACATTGGTTTTGCATATAGCTACTTTACAAATATTTATCATTTTGAGCAATCGGTTTTAAGTTAGAACAATCATTAATTAAATTTCATTGTTTTTTATGTTTTCAAGCAGCAATTATACATAAATTTAAAATAAGTCAGCATACTGTATCTGTGTAATTCAAAGTGGCCATTCAAATTCAAACCATGAATCTCAAATGTAAATTAAACCAATTGGACTCTACAATTGTCATTTACCACATGTTTGGTCTATACAATGTAATTAGATTCTATTCAGCATGGGTTCACTAGAAAAAACAAAGAAATGTAGATCTCAAAAAAAAAAATAAAAAATAAAAAAATTCCTTGCGTCAGTGGGTTTGAGCCATAGTCATATTCGATCTTCACTAGCAAAAGATCAGCACTACATAGTTTTTTATTCCATTTTTTATATAGTTGCTCTTGATAAAATAATTGTTTGATGATAATGTATAAGGAAAAAAATATTAAAATAAACACCATCCTCATTAATCGAATTCCTCACCAATTCATGTAGCCGAGCATACTCTTCCTCGGTGCAGGACGGATTCAGTTCTAGTAAGATTTTCGTATGATATTCTGGTAAGCATTCTCTAATCACTTTGGTTTTTTATTTTCAAAGAAATTCAGGATAGTACCTGGCGCTCAATGGGTGTTGAAGATACAAAGGTCAAACTATTTAAACCGATATTATACTCAAGATTTTTTATTATTCTTACTTCAGGTAAGTTGCAACTTTTTGAACTTTCTTAGAAGTGTGCAAAACTCTTATATAACTCTTCAGGAGTTTTACTTATATTCAAACTATTCGAACTTCGTGATAAGTTTCAATAATATTTAGTCTTTTGAAACTGTACAAAAGTTCGGTACTAACAAAATTGTAATACATATATAGCTTATGAATACTCACTCTAGTATTAGTTATCATCCTATTATTCAAATATGATCATAAAAACAGATAAAAAATCATATTACAGACAAACATAACATATCTAGATAAAAACAAACATAGCATATCTATTATATTAAAAAATATGAACCTAAATATCTAGACATATGAAGACATTATAACTTGCGCAAGTCCTTTGAATTAATTTCTCGAGAATTGGGATCATGTCCCTTTATTTTTAATCCTTCGGGGATTTCATATAGACGTCATTATTAAGTATGACGTATTAAGTGATCACTATAATAAAGAGACGCCTTTCTTATCTTCATTTACTACCAGATTAATAAATATCAGAAGATTTTCCTTTTCATCTACCACAAGATAAACCGTGCTTTGGGAAAAACTTGTGCAACAAAGAGGTTGCGCGATAATCTTTTGCGCAATCACCCGCAAAATCTAGCCCATATATCACTTGCCAAACTTCTAGTTCGAAAGCAATTTCAATTCTAAATACACATCGTCACGTGTGTATTGCATCTTTTCATTTGTTGTGGCCAATAAGTTTAATGTCTGCATCAACAACAGACTTTCATTTCATGATCCTCATTTTCATTTATTTTACTGCTGCAGTATAAGCAATTTTCATGTCGATATTTTATTACTGATCGATTCCATATTCTTCGGTAATGAGACCTTACAATCATTAAGTTTCTCAAGTATTCATATACTTCTTCTGGAAGTTAATTCACCATAATGAAAAACTATTCCAGTTTAAAAATCTTATGAATTATAATCGCTCCTATTTGCCATCTCTATAGATTTAAACCTTGGCATTTACGAGAATTTTTATCATTTAGAATCGATGGCTCTACCATTTATTAAATGGACATTCAACTAACAAATAGTGGTAGGTAGTCCTTCAGGTACACATTATCAAATTATAATTTTAACAGCCTTTTATATAAGATATATTTATACATTCACATGATCAACAATCATATACATAGCTTAAGAATTGCATCGTGATTGTATGATATGAGTAAATAGAATTTATAACAAGAAATATTTTTTGTTCATATGCAAACCAAATATGCATGATTTATGATTTACCTTTTTCTTCCATCATCATCATTTTGAGCCATTAAATTGAACTCCATGATGATCCATCTCATTGTGGCTAGAAACTTGTGCACCGAAAAGTTTTTGAGGTCACATTGCTTTAGGTCCCGAAAACCTTTTAAAACATTCATTGAGGCTTCAGAATTAATACGCACCAACTTCAGGCGGTGGTAGAATTGAAATATTTATTGAGGCTTCAGGCCTTCAGAATCAATACGCACCAACTTCAGGCGGTGGTAGAATTGAAATATTTATTGAGGCTTCAGGCCTTCAGAATCAATACGCACCAACTTCAGGCGGTGGTAGAATCTATTTTCCTAGAATCTTCGTGCTGATAACGTGTTATAAAATTAATACTAGATCACTAATATGAAACTAAGTATGAGAACAAAGAGCAGAGACAAGAGAGTAGAGAGAGATAAGAGACTTGTATTTAGATATATTTTGAAGTATGAATAAGCTCCCTATTCATACAAGAAGTAGGGGATCAAACTGTGGGAAATGAATCACTTATCATTAATGCTAAATATTACATAATCATATCTCCTTCATTGTGAATAGAATAATATATATCAATTACGGATATTCAATCAAATCGAATCAAATATTTCATAAGATAAGCACATATGTTGTGCAATTATTGGGAAACTTTTGTGCTTTACACGGATAACGACATGTGCTTGCCAATAATATACATAAAACTAAACATTGAGTCAAATAAATCATGTGATTCTTCATTGGCTGAATTTGTCATATGATTTACTATTTTTGATGGTTGCTCACTTACTAGTTTGACCAGGTTGATTAAATAAATGTTGCTCTTAATTAGAGGTTAAGAAAAAACAGACAATGATCATTTTAGGCTAAGAATTTTCTAAACTATAAACACTTCCTAAACTATTATATAATTTTTAAATACTTTTCTATATAATTATTATTTTCCTTTTTGACTTTCTATTAACACCCTAATCTGATAAGCCATGTGTCAAAATCTTGATGAGTGTTGTAGGAAGTAGTGTATAATTATGTTGTAGTAGATTTTTTACCTCATTTCAAGGCTAAGTCAGAAAGAAATGACGAAATTAGAGAATGATTAGAAACTATCATGTGGTTTAACAACACAAATAAACTTATGACGTAGTTAAATTGATGATATTGTTATGTCCTTGATTTTTCATTACTTTTTTTGTTCCCGACTTAAAAAACTCAGGTCTTGTTTGGACAATACTCATTTTGCATTTTTGTCTCAGTTTATCTCTTAAAACACTCTCAAACACAAATCTCAATACTATCCGAACAACTTTTTAATTTACCTTTTAAAAAATATTCCAAAAATTATTTTTACACAATTTTCTTCCACCGCTATCGGACCACTTCCCCCACCACCCACAACCGCTGGATCACCCCTTGCCGTCGCCGGACCCCAGCCGGCTGGCTGGCTGGATTCCGGCCAATTTCGCCAGAATCCGGCCGGCCGGCGACGGCCCGGCGGCAAGGGGCGGCCTGACGGCGGAGGTAGGTAGTGGAGGTGCCGATGATGGTAAAAAAATATATTATTTTAATAAAAAATTTATCCAAACAATTTTTTAAATTTCATTTCAAAACACAATTTAAATCACATCTCAATTCCAAACCAAAAACTAAAATCAAAATGTAAAATGAGATGTTGGCCAAACAAGTCCTCAGTAACTCTGTTATCAAATACAGAAGCAAAGGCCAACTAGATTCCATGCTCGGACATGAAAGCTCTTTCATTCTCAATTATTTCTCCAACATTTCCCTTCGTGGCCGTTAATTTGATTCGAGAAGTAAATATTTAATGCTCATTGGTCTGTCCCCAAAAATATTATTTTATTTATTAATTGTACTAATTAAACTGAGCATTCATAAAGAGAGTTAACAAATTGTATAAGTCAACCAAACTCGGTATTCATAACTTTAGCAAGTATAATGATTTTGTTAATAAGGAAATGAAGCGCAAGTATACACCTAAATATCTTATAGAATTAAGCACAAAATTTCCCATATACGAGATATATTTATATAAGATTCCAAGGTGCCAATTCCAAGCTGCAATTGTTTAAAAACCAACGTGTAAAATTGATAATTTAATTGGCCATGGATGTTAAGGTTATATGTCAAGAGCTAGCAAATTTATTATTTACACGAAATTATGTACCAAAAAAGGGGGACTATTAAATATTGAATCTGTTGTGTGGGTTCAATGAACGAAGAATTTTGTTTAAAAAAAAAAAGAAGAAAAAAGAACGTTCAACTTGTGTTGTTGTAGCATCAAATTGCCAGAAAAAGTTCAAAATGGTGGAGCCTTTTGGAATTTTAGGATTCGGATTGTTGAGCGAATTTCGACCCACGTGGAAATTAAAAAAAAAAGAAGAAGAAGAAGAAGAAAAAACTCCAGCCATATTTACTTACTAGTTGAATTGATTCATAATATTTCACGTACTTTGCACGACTCATTTGCCTCTTCAACGAAACAAATGTGTATTAATTGATGGGGGCGTACGGATCCTTTTTCTACTTCACTTCACTTTCTTGCAACTTGGCCATGAGGCCATAACCCAACAAAAATAGTGCTTGCATGGAAACGTGGGGAAGATTTTTCAAAAATATCATTACTCCCTCCATCCTAAAATTATTGTCCAGTTTGAAATTTCTCTTTTAGTATAATTTAAACTAAAACTAGACAATAATTTTGGGACGGAGGGAGTACAACTTTTCACTTGTTTCAACTCGCTTGTCCACTGGCCATAAACCAACAGTAATGATGGGGGGACTATCTCGAAGACTTTATTACCATTCCTGACAAAAGAAAAAGTGTCCTATTTTGCTTCTTCATTCATTTCATTTAATCCCAGAAAGAAAAAAAAGGAAAAAAAAACATTTTCATTTGTTGTTTCGATCAAAATTGTGATGGAGTGTGCGATCCACTTTGAGTGCAGGTTGAAAAACTATCGCATTTGTGTTGATCCTGCAATTGATATCTTGAAATTAGTAGCATTTGATAATCTTTCCCAATATGCTCCTCATTTGAGGGGTTCTATCCAACAAATGTTTCTTGACTTGCAATTCTACAAAATGTTCTTTTGGGGTTTTGGCTTTCCGGAAGAACTTTTAGCTCCTGATCAGATGCTGTGTTTGAGTTTTATGATTCAGAAATTCAGGCGAGCATCAGAGGAGTTGAAAATGCAATATGAAGCTGCAACCGAAGAAGAAAAGATCGTGAATTGGGAGCCGATGAGTTCACGTTTGAAGGTGTTGATTCGGGATCATATGCCGGAAGCTGGAGAGATTTGCAGATTTTTACTACAGAATGGATTCAAATGTAAGTTCTCTTTCCAACTCCCGAGGTCATCTTATGAATATGGAGTGGGGACAATGGATTTCATTGCTTTGATCGAACGGAATCTTGGCGCTGTTGAAAGTATTGTTGATTATCTTGACCCCTTATTAGGCCTAAAAATTGCTTTCATGGAATTTAGACGTCAGAAGTTTTGGAAGCTTCTTTATGTTCTTCATTTTCGGAATCATAGATCTGTAAGAACCGTGGAACTCATATATCATGTTCAATCTTGGGCAAGTCACGTTTCACATTTCGTGTTCCTCTATAGGTCTGATCTTCTAACAAGTGAGTATTTAGCAACCACTCCGGAAAATGATCTTTCCAATTTGATGTGGAACAGTATGTATCCAAGGCTAATAGAGTTGTCCCTTGATGTGTTTAAGGCCAAGAAATATCATGTATGTCGAGCTACAATGTATCCTCAAATCCTTCCGGATTATGTTGATTTTCTTCTTAAACATGTAGCCATAAGCGATTTGCATGAGGGCAAGATTGTCCGCGATGATCTTGAACCTGTTCGCGAAGCTCTGATGTTCTTGTTATCATTTTCCATGGATTCATCGAATGAGGAATTAAACGTAAGTGAATTGATATTGGCTGAAATCAATACTATTATCTGTGAAGTGCCATCAATCATGTGTATTCCTCAAACAGACAAGTTAGGCAGACTTCTGGATATGATTGATGGAGTCAAGGCTAAAATAAGAGAATTGTATGTTGTTACTCCCATTTCATCGCAATTCAATTCTCCAAGAACTAACGCAATCGGGTTTCTGGATTCACTCCTGGAAACACTACAGAAAATGCTACAAGGAGGAGTGGATTTAATTCCTTTGGTGAAAAATCGCGTTATGGAAGTCCATGAAGAGCTAGCAGCGCTGAGGCCTTTTCTCCTGGAGTATGATGACTTTGAGCTTCAAAATGAGGAGGACAAGAGACGCAAAGATATACATACCCGAATCGTCAACGTGATACACTTTGCAACATATGTCACCAAGTTGTGTGCAAGCACGAGTTTATCGATCTGGTACGGTATTATGTTTCTGCCCGACATCATACATCACATAAAGCTTGTGAATAATGAGGTTAAAAAGATTCAAGATGATGGAAAGTATTTCAACAAAAGCCTCGGTACTGAGATGGAGTCAAGGGAAACTTTGCCGCCTCAAGCGACAACTTTGATGCAGGGAGAAGCTTTTATTGGATTTAGAGAGGATGCAGAATCAATATTAGATCACCTTCAACTCGGTCCAAAGGATCTCACCATCATTTCCATTTCTGGAATGTCAGGCCAAGGGAAGACGACATTAGCGAGAAAAATCTACGATGATCCTTCAATCCGGCATCATTTCCACAAAAGTGCATGGTGTTCTGTCTCTAAACAATGCAAGATGAAAAGGCTGTTGTCCAACCTCTTACGGGATGGTAAGGAGGGCAACGATTTCGGCAACCTAGAAATCCATGATTTATCTGATCGCGTGCGGAAAAATTTGAAAGGGAAAAGATATCTCATAGTTCTGGACGACATTTGGGATGTTGAGGTGTGGTGGCAACTGCAATACTCATTTCCAGATGATAAAGAAGGGAGTCGAATCTTGTTTACGACTCGAAATGATAACCTTGCTTCACAATGTAACCCGAAGTCCATTTCCCATCCTCTTCAATTATTTTCTGATGAGGAAAGCTGGGAATTGCTGAAAGATAAGCTTGCAGGCTATGTTGGTTTCTCTCAAGAACTTATGGAGGTAGGAAAACAGATTGCAGATTATTGTAAAGGGTTGCCTTTGGCAGTAGTCGTAATCGCCTCTTACCTGAAAAGGACAAGATATGAATTGGATTTGTGGAAGGAAGTGGCAGAGAATCTGAAATCACATCTTGCCAGTGAAGGTTGTATGCACATTTTGGAGCTCAGTTACAAGTATCTTCCCCAACATTTAAAACCGTGCTTTCTTTATTTTGGAGCCGCTTTTCAGAGAGGCGAAAACATTCATGCTGGAAAATTGATTCGCCTTTGGATCGCTGAAGGATTCATAAAGAGAAATGAGACTCGAAGCTCAGAGGATCTGGCAAGAGAATACTTGGACTATCTAGTTTCTCAAAATTTAGTTCATGTTGTTCGTAGAAATTCGATGAGGAACATCAACCTTTGCACAGTTCATGATCTCCTATATGATTTGTGCATCCAAAAATCACTGGAAGATAATTTCTTGCATTTGGCGGATTACAGAACGCTCCAAAGCGAATCTCATCATTCCCAGCGGCCTTGGCTTTGCATTCGGGGCATGGATTCGGCATTCTCCCACACACACCTCACATCTCATTCTCTCCAAAGGAAATTCTTACCAAGCAGTCAAGTTCAGTCTTTGTTTTGGTCTCATCCTGATGATCTACCAATCCAAAGTAAGTCATTATCCTCATTTTTCAGCAACTTTAGAGGTCTTACAGTGTTGGATATGCTGGATGTGAATCTGGAGGCTTCAGCATTTTCTAAACTAATGTTGTTAGCATCTAATATTCATCTGAGGTATTTAGGACTGCGTGGCTCTCTTGCTTGTGTTTTCTGGTCAATCGAAAACTTGTCAAACTTGGAAACACTCATTTTGATCTCGGACCGAAGTGTTCTGAGAATTCCAAGATCCTTGTGGGAGATAAAAAGTTTAAGCTACGTTGATATGGAAAGATCTTGCTTGGATTTCGATGGCTATGGACAAAACGTCTCCACGGCGAATGCCAGTAACATTGAGACACTGAAAGGAATCCTTCTTCGTTGTGATTTCAAGACGCTGGAGGTTTTAAGAAGCTTACCAAAGCTTAGAGATTTGAAGTGCTACTCTGAAAAGTGTTCTCCAGAGTTTTTCTGTATGTTTCAATCTCTTGAAAAACTGGAGAGACTAAGGATTTTAAGCTTAAAAGAAGCGGATCTTAAGGCGTTCTTGTTTCCCTACATCAGTTTCCATTTACCTGAGAATCTCAAGAAGTTGTCATTGTTGGGAACAGGATTACCTTGGAAGGCTATGTCAATGATTGGGAGGTTACCTCATCTCGAAGTTCTGAAACTAGTTGGTTATGCATTTAAGGGAGCTACCTGGGAGCTGGAAGATGAGGAGTTTCCGAAACTCAAACATTTGCGCCTTTGCGGATTAAATGTGCGACGAATCGATGACTCTGACTGCTGTGACAGTCCATTTCCATGTCTGGAGAAGCTTGACATCCTAGGTTGTGAGAAACTTGAGGAGATTCCTGCCAGCTTTGGAGAGATTTGCACCTTGAGCGAAATTAATCTAGCTTCATCTCTTAACGTTTTGTTCTCTGTGCTGGCAATCTGTGAACAACAACGAGATTTGGGAAACAATGACCTTAAATTCACTTTACAAAACATCCCTCCTCCAATCCTAGAAGAAGAAGAAGAAGAAGAAGAAGAAGAAGAAGAAGAATGTTGATGATGAATAATCAAGGAGAAGAAGAAGCTGAGAAGAAGTTTCGGTAAGTGGATTTTCATAATTTTGTGTTTTCCTATTGTCCAACATTCTTCATTTGATACCAAAAAGAAATAACATAAAAAGGTTTGAAATGTAGTTATATACAATATATACTATGATTTTTATTTTTTTTTATTGTGCACTATTCTTCATTTCCTCTCGATTGCATCCTGTTTCTTTCTTCACTCCGCTCTTTCACTCCGCCACCATGCCCCGTACTCAGGGATTGTGTGTGTGTGTGTTTTTTTCAAATTGTCGCGTCAATTGATGTTAATTTGCGCATGCTGATCCCTTTGGAAATGACAAGGAGCATTTTTAAGCTTTGATCTTATTGACAACGCTGAATAATTTTTTCCTTTTTATTTTAGTATGGTGTTGAGGAATCGCTCTTCCCCTTTCCTCTATGAAATTTGATTTAAATTGTTCTTTTGCTGGATTGAATTTCTTGCTCTTCATGTGTGTATGCATAAATACTCTATATGATTGCGTTTATCAGAGATTTTGAAGTTGAGAAGCCTGCCAGTGAACGCGGGTAAACGTGAAACATGGAAAAGGGTTAGATATAAGACTCTGATTGTGGGGGGAGCATAAATTTAATTTCCTTATTTCTGAAATAAATTTCTTATGCATTAATGAGTTGTACAAGTTTTAGCCTTCACCCATGGAATGCGATACTGGGAATGATCACTTTTGAATTTTCGATATTCAGAGAAAGGCGACGGCTAAAGTCCAGAGGTGGGTGGCAAAACCAGATGCGGAAGCACAATCTAGTTCATGGTCTGCGACGGAGGGAACTTCTAGGGTTACAGAGGAAGCTGTGGCTGACAGGCTGAATACGTTGAGCATCGCCGAAACTAGTGGCGGGCCAAGTGCTTCTGCACGAGTTCCGCAAGTTGGAATTGTCGCGCACCATAATCCTGTACCCAGACAAACTGTCTCTTGGAAGCCTAGAGTCATATGGAACGGCAAGTGGGTTGCCCCCGGCAGAGGTTGACCAGGGATCGGCAAACCAAGTGGCGGGTGAAACACTGGGGAATAAAAGCTCATACAGCATCAAATGGAGTAAAACATAGTTTGATCAATGGTTTTCAGGTTACAGAGATGCTATAGTATAGCTAGAATGGCCAATGATGAAGTTGCTTCAAGGCAATCCAAAGATGTAGATTTAAAGTGGGAAGGATTAAATGTTTCATCTGTATAAGTCAAGGTAGAACACTGGTAGAAATTGATCACTCTGCTTTTGGTTTGTATATTGCAGATTTCTCCCTTTGTGAACAATATAACTCCAATGTGTTAATTTGTGGTTTTTAACTTGTATATGTTACTTTTCTGTTTTTGTTTATTCTTCCAGTGAGCTTCATGAGGAACGTTAACAATGACAGCAATATTCCCCAAGTGTGACATAATTTCTCTTTTTTAGCCGTATTGTCTCGCTTGAGGTTTGATTTTTCTGTCCCCTGTTTTGGTTGATTCCGAGCTTTCGCTGTCATCAAACTAATAGTATTTTCGGTTATAAGATAGATCCTTCAAGTTTCCTTCAGAAGTGAATTTTCGTTCTTGGCCATGTTATAGTTTATGGATCCAATTTGAATTTTTAGGGAGTTAATCTGAAATTGAACTTTCTTACAACAGAGGATGCCTCAGAACTGTTTGATAGAATTTCTAGATGAGATGGGTTATCCACAACATTGTGATTTACGGAGTTAGTGTCAATGATTACTTTTTTCTAAAACCTTGGTTAGGTAAGTTAGCAAATATGAAAGATAATTTCTAAGCTAATCGTACTATCAATATGTGTAGGCCAATGCGGTTCTTCTTCTCACCAATATATATATTCTCCTCCAGATTATATCATCAGTTATAAAGGCAACTGCTGTATAGAATTGGACAGCTATATATCTGAAGTAAAAAAACTTAAGGTTACGCATGGCAGACCATGGATGTACATTCTTCGGATAATTGATTAATCGGCTCAAAAATATGAACCTTAATGAAAAAGTACCCATGCATATGCATGTGTTATGTATAGGCCTTACTTCTGTGTGTTTTATCTCTTGCAAGTTCTAGCTCAACTTCCATTTTCTGTTTTGCAATTGTCATAGTTTAAGAGTTATGAAAATAAGAAAATAGTCTTCTCTCTTTCTGTAGGAGTACGGTTATCAGTTTCTTTCGTTCATACAATTGATCCTTGCTTATGCTTCGGGTCTGTTTAAAGTTCATGGCTTATCTGCAGGATTCAGGTCAGAGCTTACTATGGGGATTGTGGTGGCTATATTACAGCCAAAGCATCAAACAGTCAAATTAGTTCCTGGTTGCCACCTGTGAGTTGGAAAGTGAAGCTGAAAGGTGATTTGGATGAGAAATTAAACATGCAGAGTAATTTTTCCTTGGGCTCGAGTTGCATCTTGCTGAGCAGCAATGCGTTCAAATGTGATTTCCATTCATGTTATGTAGAATGAGAGACATTTAGCAAGGTTAAGAGTAGATATGCTGAATTATGGTGACAGATTTTCTTGGCAAGATTGATTTTCACAGATTCATTCTATATTTGCAGAACACCTGTCATTCATGGGGGGGTTGCACTGATTTTGCTGCTGCGGATTTATTGGCTAAAGTAGTTGTGACAAGGGTGCTTCTCTGCTGAGAACCTTTTTTTTGCAATGCTCGACGCGCGGCGCTGATTTCCCAATTGCCGATGCTGCATAATGCAGCATTTCTTCTGTTCAAGACTGAAATTTCAAAAAGAGGCAAGGTTGGAGCTTTCAATCTGAGAATGTTGAAGGTATAAATAAATCACTGACGCGGAACTGTGGGCGCTTCTCATTGACTTCTTTCTTTGCTTTGCTATCAGTGACCTACTGTAATATTCCATGATGAAGACCATAATTGCACTTAAATGGTTACAAGCAGAAACACCTTGACACACAGTGCACGGCAATCACCTACAATGCATTTCATGTGCAAAGATAGACATTGCTAGAGAAATTTTCTGGATGTTTTAGATTAAGTCATTCTAGGTTTTGATCAGGTAAAAGAGATATCTTAATTAAGAATAGTTTACTAGTTTTTGTGTACAAGATGATGTAGTCAAATTTTGTGGCCTCTGAACCATGCTTACGGAATGGTTTGACCACTTTTTTGTCTGAAAAGCTCTTTCTATGCAAAATCCTAGCAACCTTAGCTTTTACTTTGCTGCAGAATAAACTTGCACTAATTTCCTTCCTTACTTTTTATTTTTGTGTGTGCACGTTTTTGTATGAACCTTGCCTTTATTCCTGGAGAAATACCAGGTTGCAGCATTTAGGTAACTTTCGCTCCCGTACACAGCATTTTGGGAGAAATCTGACTTTTACTAAAGCTCTTGATGTGTTAGTCTCATTAATGACTTTTGCTTCATGAGAAGCCGGCCATATTTCTTTAACAGGGGAGAAGAAAAAAAGAAAAAAAGAAGCTGTTATTACCGGTTGGTGGTCCCAAACCTCGTTGGGGGGATTCTTATTACTATGGTCAGGAGTGGTAAATCATGATTGTCATAACATTGAAGTCAGGTTAATATCAACCTGTTCCTGGTTAATATTTTCCAACTGAAGTCAGTCACTACTTAATGGCATGGTTTGGAATCTCACTTTAACCTTTGTCAGCATGATTGATGATTTTCAGAACTCTGTGTTCTCATCAATATTTGCTTTTTGAGGTATAAAAGGACTTTATTTTGTGTGTTCTTTTGGTTGAAAAAGCTAAATTTTCATACATGAACAAATTCGCTGCTGAGAAGAACTCTTCGATACTATTCAGAGCAACCCAAAGAGAAAAAATGACCGGGCTTGGACCATGTTTCCCGAACAATCTCAGTACATATGGCGCAAGACGATTCCACATTTCAAGGTCGGAATGGGATCGGATGTTTTCACGTCTCACTGTAGTGTTCGGTTTGTCTTGATAGACGATTGATGAACAAGAAGGAAAATGGAAACTCTTTTTTGACTCGCCCCCGGCAACGTGTCCTTTGGACCAATCGCCCGCTCGCCACCAGTGGGAAGCAAGCTAGTCCCCTATGTTGGTTGGGGGAAGAGGGCATTTTCATCGCGAAGGATTCAATCCAGCCACAGGTTCCCCTACGGCTACCTTGTTACGACTTCACCCCAGTCGAAGACCCCACCGTGGTATGCGCCAATAAGACCACCAAAAGCCTTTGAGAGAACAAAGTACTACCGAATCAGGTACTGCTTCAGTAGTTGCAATACTCCGAACTTTTCAATTTTTTTTCTTTTCTGTTGTTCTGACTCCCCCACAAATGAAACTCGAACTCAGTACATTAAGTAAATCTTTGAGTACATAAGTGTGCTATTGTGAACTCACTGAAATCGGCACTATGCCAGTAAAAGAAATGCTTGGCTTCCTTAACTCCTTGTCTTTTTTGTCGGCATCAATAATTGAAGTACTAAACGGTATCATATGTTTCCTGTTTTAAGGTTTCTGTTTCAATATATGGCATTTGGACTTAGTAATCATTCAGTTGAAATTTGAAGACTAAAATGGCCAAATGGTCTCTTCCATTTAGGCCTACTTGAATTTACGTCCTTAACATTAACATTTCAATATCTAGTCCCAAACATTATGTTTTCACACTTTTTTTTGTCCCATTTCACTGTTTCCAGCCGTTGACATGCCGGAATCAGGGATATTTTTGTCTTTTAATTTAATTTAAATTTAAAATCATTAAAAATATTTTAAAATTCAAATTTTATTATTTAATTGTTAAAATATATTTATTAATTATAAACATTATTATACAGTTTTAAAATTTATCATTATTTTCAAAATTACTTTTTTCATTTACTATTTATTTTAAGTACACAGTAAATAATAATTATGTTGCACTTTTAACTTTGGGCCCACTGTAACTTAAAAAATTTACTAAGTTAAAGTAAATAATTCAAAATTCAATTATTTTTTTTAAAAAAAGAAAAAGAAAACGCAAAACTAAGATTTTTTTTTCTCCGACCACTACAGTAAACCCTAAATAGTAATTATATTACACTTTTAACCTTGGACCCACTATAACTTAAAAAATTTACCAAGTTATAGTAAATAATTCAAAATTCAATTTTTTTTTAAAAAAAAAAGAAAAACCAAAACCAAGATTTTTTTTATTTTAACCGCTACAGTAAACCCTAAATGCTAATTATAATACATATTTAACCTTGGGCTCACTGTAACTTAAAAAATTTACTGAGTTACAGTAAATAATTCAAAATTTAATTTTAAAAAAAAAAAGAAAAAGAAAAACCAAATTTTTTCTTACTCTGACCGCTATAGTAAACCCTAAATGGTAATTATTTTGTACTTTTAACCTTGGACCCACTGTAACTTAAAAAATTTACCGAGTTACAGTAAATAATTCAAAATTCAACTTTTTTCCAAAAAAAGGAAAACCAAGATTTTTTTTTACTATGACCGCTACGTTTTTTTTTAACCTTGGACCCACTATAACTTAAAATATTTACTAAGTTACAGTAAATAATTCGAAATTTAATTTTTTTAAATAAAAAGAAAAAGGCAAAACAAAGTAATTGACTGCTACAGTAAACTCTTATGTTGCACTTTTAACCTTGGACCCACTGTAACTTAAAAAATTTGCCGAGTTACAGTAAATAATTCAAAATTCAACTTTAGCGGTCAAAGTAAAAAAAAATCTTGGTTTTGCTTTTTTTTTTATTTTCTAAAAAAATTTGAATTTTGAATTATTTACCATAACTCAGTAAATTTTTTAAGTTATAGTAGATCCAAGGTTAAAAGTGTAACATAATTACCATTTAGGGTTTTCTGTAGTGGTCAGAGTAAAAAAATGGTTTTCTTTTTCTTTTTTTTAAAGAAATTGAATTTTGAATTATTTACTGTAACTCAATAAATTTTTTAAGTTACAGTGGACTCAAGGTTCAAAGTGCAATGTAATTACTATTTACTTTGACCTAAGGTAAATGATAAATGAAAAAATTAATTTTGAAAATAATGTAAATTTTAAAATTTTATAATAATATTTTTAATTAATAAATAATATTTTAATAATTAAATAATAAAATCTGAATTATAAAATATTTTCAATGATTTAAATTTTAATAGAAATTTAAATCAAATTAAAAGACAAAAATACCCCTGATTCCGACCCAAGGGACCATTTAGACATTTTAGTCAATTTTGAAATACCATTATACTTTTAAATGAGGATTCTCATAAAGTAGCCTGCCCAAGAAATGAGCAAGTAAATTGTAGCTTCCACGGTATAATCAGTTCAGAAAATCTTATGTTGCTCGAACACCCTTAACAGAGTTGGTAATTAGCTTTCACAAGAGACTGCGACAATTAGTGGATTTGAAGTAAAATAAGTCACTTTACCATTTAGCTTTTTTATGTTGAATAGTTGGCATTCTATCTTGTTTAGGTGAAAAGCCTTAATGCAGTAACCATAACAAATGTGCTGAGTCAATGCATCAAAAGATGAAGCACTTCTCTGACAGGCTATTGGATATAATTATTGCAGCTGGATGCACGCTTTCCTACTGGCTCAAGCGAATATGCTCCATAAGGTGCTTAGGTATGGTGAGATCCTGCAATACAGGGATCTTATAGAAGGAAAAATATACCCCTATGTTCCGAAATTATTGTCCAATTTAGATTTTTATTTTTTGTTCAATTTGTACGAAAAGTGAAAATTCAAATTAGACAATTTTCTTCGAAATGTGGGACGGTGCTTCATTTCCTCCTGCTCCTCTTCTACTTGGTTAGCAACTCTCAGAGGAACTAGGTGCAAAAACGATAGAGAAAGAATCTGTATCTTGTCTTTTGATCATTATCTCACAAACCGAACACAGTGGCCTGTGTGTGATTATAGACAGTTTTGGCACCTATTAGAAATGCCGGTTACCGAGATGACAATAACAATAAGACGTGTACTGCGAAGCCGACACAGAGTTGCCGACAAGCTTGTGAGAATGGCTACTATACAAAACAACACGAGATGATTTGCTCATTCGAGCTTGCCTTGTCGCTCATTTGGTCAAGTGGTTAGATCATCAGGGATGATTCCCGAATGTAAGACAGACTTTTGCAATAACCGAACATTTAAGTGCATCCATAAAATCTTTGCATTTTGTTGCTGTGGCTGATTTTTGCAATATCGGGGCATTTAAAGTGCATCCATAAAATCTTGCATTTTGTTGCTATATGGCTATCCATAGTTGATGTAGATTTCAAAGCGAAAATATTTGAATACATCCATTTTTTACTTTTAACCCTACTGATGGATTGAGCCTTCAATTTCCTAGCGTGGATCTCTTTTGCGTCCACGAATAGAATCCCATCTTGGGTACATTTGGTTTACATAGGAGAAAAAATTACATTAACCTTTTTAGCCTTCACTTCATGAGTGCATGGTTTGGTTTTACCAAACATATTTCAGCCTACATTAATAATTTGATCTACGCTTATGGATGATTTTGGTTCATGATTATAAATTAAATTAATTACCGTAATCTAATTTAGTCGATTGAATTCAACCTTCTTTAGTAAAATCCTTTTTGTTAAGAATTAATTTTTGGTCTAAAGTTGTGCAGCATGCGATCAAGCATTTGCATTTCTGATTTATAGTTTGATGCTTCCTAATTAAACAAATGTTGCTATTAGTCACACGTTTGATGTCAACTTCGCCAGAGAAATGGGCTATGATCTACTGGAATGAATTCAATGAAATGCGAAAATTGTATAATAAGATATCGAGGGAAAGAATTTTGTATACTTCCGTTGAACATATTAGTCCAGAACTTTTCACAATGCTTCTTGAAAATCTTAGCCTCAAGAATGACACGAATTTTATTTTATTTTTCCTGAATAAACCTTATATTTTTAGTACCACCAAACGTGAAATTAACATATTAAAAATTAACTGACCTTATCGACACTTTGAAAATAAAATGCTAATCAAAGTGATGCTATCTTGAATCAAATTCAAATGGAGATAAATGTGAGAATATACGGTTGTAGTAAAAAGACTCTTTCGTTAAAAGAACAAAACTTCTTGAAACAAATTGTTCTTTTTTTTTTTGGAATTTTCAGTACCATTAAATAAAAAACAAAGTCGGTGCTAGGCATCTGAAACAAATTGTTGGCAGTGGGGTGGTATAATATTGAAATTCAGCGTATGCACTGCATTGTATATCAAACTTTAATGTACTACCTCCGTCCCAAAAATATTATCTAAATTGAGTTTTGAGATTTGTACTAGTTTTAGTACAAACTCAATGTAGAATATTTTTTTTGGAACGGAAGGAGTAATATTATTTTGTTTGGTAGCTATAGGATTTATTTAGAAGTTACCCCCAAAAAATTTTGAATTGTAAGTTATTATTATTATTATTATTTTTTGAAAAGGTACCTGTATATTAGTTAAAAAGTACCTAAGCTATTACATCTCAAACGGTTATAAGCTAAATTATGTGTTTCTAATACATCAAACCTACCCACTTTAGTCAGTGTACATTCTACAAAAGTGGAAATTAAAGCATCTAATAATAATAGGACTTCGCATGACTCTGATCGTACCAAGGGAGATGTACAATCATGTGTCAATACTTCACAGTCCATAAAACCTGGATCCTATCGAGGCCAAAGCTTGCCGCTTGCAAAGCCAATAGACATGTCTTGGCTTCTGTTTGTAACGGTGTAAGAGCATTAATAGTTACTGTTTTAAGCGCCATGACCATTCCATGAGGCGAAACAATTTTCCAAGCTCCAGCTGCTTTCCTCGTTTGATGACTAAAAGAGCCATCAAAGATAATCAAGGCAGTATTAGCAATTCTCTGTGTTGCACTCTGTCTCCGTTGGCTATCATTAGTAGAAGCTGTGGAATGTTGTTGCAGAAGAATGTGTGCATCAGATTGGATAAGACTTCATGATACTGCCGGGTCATGAGGTTGATTCCTCCAAATGCGATCATTTCGATTCAACCAGATACGCCACATGGTTAGCAAGAGAAGATCAACCTCTTGTTTAGATGGATGTGTTGCATACCATGCTATGAACCACTGCAGAAGTGAGTCATACGTAGTGTTGAAGATGGAGCTGAATCTGGGAAAAGCCAAAGCCCAGATTGCTTGTGATTCTTCACATTTGAGGAATAAGTGTGTACTATCCTCTTCTTAACAAAAACAGCGTGGGCAGGTCGTATCTAGTTGTACCCCTCTCTTCGCCAAGTCTTTACGGGTAGCTAGAGCATTTAGTAAAGCTCTCCAAAATAAGAACTTCTGCTTTAGTTAAACTTTAGAGTGCCAAAGTTTTTTCCAAGCTAGTTTTTCAGCTTGTGCAAGTGCAGGATCAGGAGCAGGTTGAGGAAGGAGCGAATTTATTGCAACCTGATAGCCTGTCTTAACTGTATAGTGGCCATGATCAGTATGAATCCATTGCAAACAATCCTTCTGATTGTGCCTTGCTGGATCAATGAAGATTCCACTGATGATTGAGATGATATGATCCGGAAAGAAGTTCCTCAAAGCTTGAAGTCTCCATTGAACTGATGGAGTGATGAAGCGATTAACTCTAAGGTTTGCCGTTGATAAAACAGACTGAGCATTAATCGGATTTGGGATTCTAGGAATCCAATTTGCTGAGAGAAGGGTGTCTCTTCCAGATATGATTTTGGTCCTCAGATTTTCTTGCAATAATTCTGCTCCCCATAAAATACTTTTGAATCCCCAAGAAGGAAACCTAGGTGCTTCTAAAGGCGGGAACACTCCATTCACACAGTATTTAGCATAAAAGAATTTTGCCAAAAGAGAGTCAAGTTCCACCAAAATCTTCCAGGCATGCTTTGCCAACAAAGCTTGATTAAATTCCTTGGTAGCTTTGAGACCCAGACCACCATGAAATTGAGATTTGACGATTTCAGTTCAAGCTCTCCAGTGAATTTTTTTATCCTGAGTAATTTTTTGATCCTGAGTATCTCCTTTCCAGATAAAGTTAGCAATGATCTTGTCCACTTTTGATAGTGTCTAATTTGGTAGCTTAAAGACACCCATTAGATATACTAACATAGCAGACAAAGTAGATTTTGCGAGGGTAACTCTACCTGGCAATGAAAGTAATCTTGTTTTCCAATTTGCAAACTTGTTTCTGATTCTGGTGGTGAAATCATTGAAGATAGCTGTTTTGTTCTGAGTAAAATCCAGAGAGAGTCCAAGATATTTACTATGGAAAGTTCCCCTTGGAATATTCAGAGTCGAATGTAAGAAATCTTGCATTGCTGGAGGAGTGTTGTCACTTATCAGGACAGAAGATTTCTGCAGATTTATTTTCTGACTTGAGAAGGTTGTATAATTGTCCAGCAATCCTGCAAGAGCTTGCACTGCTGTATCTTTGCACTCAATGAAAAATAAACTGTCATCAGCATACATAAGGTGACTAAGATGTGGTGCATGACGACTTATTTTCACACCTAATCCAGGAAAAGCTTGTATTTTTGATTTAATGGCAGAGAATAAAACTTGTTGGCATAAAATGAAAAGATATGGAGATAGAGGACATCCCTGACATAAGCCTTTGTTTGGAGCAAAAGGCGGTAGGCATTCACAATTAAGAAGTATGGAGTATGACACAGATGAAACACAATGCATAATTACAGTGATGAGTCTGGCTGGAATCCCAACTCTTTGAAGTACAGCTTGAAGGAAATTCCAAGAGACACGATCATATGCTTTGCTCATATCAAGTTTAATTGCTGCCATTCTGAGATCACCTTTCCTGTGTCTAATGCATTCTATTATCTCATGAGCTATAAGAATATTTTCATTTATATTCCTTCCTGGCACAAAACTATTTTGATGCTCATCAATAAGGGAGTCCATTAACTGTTTAAGGCGATTAATGATCATTTTAGTAACAATCCTGTACTTGACATTACATAAGCTGATAGGCCTGAAATCATTTGGCATCTTGGGGGAGGCTGTTTTAGGGATCAATGCCAGATGTGTCTGATTCCATTCTAAAGGAAAGGTGAGTGAGGTAAAAACATCTAGGATAGAAGATTCCACCTCTTGACCAATAACATCTTTGTAATGTTGATAAAATCCTGCCGGCATTCCATCAGGCCCTGGTGTCTTCCATGGTGACATTTGTTTGATGGCTTTCCAGACCTCTACCTGCGTGAATGGAGCATCCAAACTGTGAATTTGGTCTTGTTGTAAGAATCTCATCCACATTTTGGAGGAGGGAGGTGAAAAAAGAGTAGGAATTCATGGCGTCCTGTGAGAGTGTTGCTGGTTCCATATAAATGCTGAAAACGTGTTGTTGAATCAAAGAAGCAATCTGTGTAGGATCTTGGAACCAATTCCGCTGATCATCACATAACTCATTTATCCATTTATTTCCATTTCTTCTCTGGGCCCATTTATGAAAGAATTTTGTGTTTGTCTCCCATCTGTGACCAGTTGAGTTTTGATCTTTGCTGCCAATACTGTTGTTGAAGATCCAAAGCATTTTGTAACTCAAGTCTTTGAGATTCTAATCTTTCAATCAATTGTGGATTGGTCATGTCTGCTTCCCATTGTGCTTGAGCTTGAGCAAACTTATCAGTTAATTTTAGCACTAAAGTATCTGGATGACCAAAACTTGTTTTGCTCCACAGATGCAGTTGGGATAAGGTGGTATGAAGTCTAAATGACAGTTGTTCCAGAGGATCAGGAATATGTAAACATAGAGGTGACTAAGCTTGAGAAACCAGTGACTTAGAACTATGACAACTGGACCAAAATTGTTCAAACTTTGGTTTTCTTTTTGGTTTTTTTTTGCTGTTTGATGTTCACTAAAATTGGACCATGATCAGAAGACATAATAGGAAGGTTTCTGATAACTGCATTTCGAAAAGTACTGAGCCATAACTTGTGGACAAAGGCTCGATCTAACCTTTCAAAAATCACATCTGATCCATGCCGTTTGTTGATCCAAGTATACCAATATCCCAAATGTTTGAGCTCCTCTAGGTCATTAGTAGTTAGGAACTGGTGAATGTTCCTGGTGTCCTGAGGACGCACTGGCCTTCCACTATACTTATCTTCTTGATCAATCACTTGATTAAAATCACCTAATAAAATGCTAGGATAGCTAAAACCTTGGATGATACCATTCAATCTAGTCCAAAAATTGGTCCTGTCCTGAAAAACAGGCAGACCATACAAAAAAATGGCCATCCAGACTAGGCCAGCTGCCTCAATGATTTGTGCAACAACCACATTGGCATCCTGGAAAAGTACCGATAAATTAACACTGCTAGCCAAAAGAGACCCAATCCACCACTACTACCAATCGAGTCTACTAAACAAGAGTTTGAAAAAACAGATGATTGGAGCCAAGCTGAAATAGTAGAGTTTGTAGCTTTGGTCTCCATAACAAACATAATACTAGGTTTATAATTCTTAACTAACCTATTTAACATACTTTTAGATGAGGTATTATTCATACCTCTATAGTTCGAACTAATAATACTCATGGAAGCAAAGGCGGTTGTTCTGGTTCAACCACCGAAAAACCTTTTTCAGAATTTGATACAAAACCATTATTAGACACAATGTCAAACATATTCAAAGTAGCCATTAAAGGCATTACCTGAAACACCACCTTGGTGCATTTTGTGTTTGAAATTCCAGCCGAAATGGAGGCATCTGTTTCCATAAATCCTGGCGCCCAAGTATGCGTGAGCATCCTCCTCTTGTAAGGTAGCCCATTATCTTCTACAGTGGCCTCCGCTTTCCTCTTTTGACTTAAATCAGAAATATTGTGACCCTTAGTGGTGTGACTAGTACTTACGCTTCTCTTGCCAATAATTGAAAGTTTGTCAGATCTTTCCAACCAACTAACACCAGATTTTTTGAATATCACTCGCCTAACAGACGTGAAGATCTTTTTACCCCGCCACCATTTAGTTGCATTAACACAGGGATAAGCCGTATGTCGCTGATTTATCATACCCAATTCAAAAATTTTAGGAACAGAAATTTTAGAGGCATGTGGAATGAAAGTGTTACCCAATTGGGGCTCAGCAGTGCACACATCAACCATCTCTGTAGGAATCAATGAGTTTTGGAGAGGGCTCGGTCTGAGTATTACCTTCGACAAAGAGGTTCTAATATCCCTAGCATCTGATTTAATTTTCCATGTCTTCTTGAGACTGTGATTATCTTGACAAGCGCGTTGCTGATTTTCCAGATTAGCTCCAACAAAATGCCTTCCATCCTTCGGATAGCCACCATTACTACTCTCCCGTGCTGAGGTGCTCCGGTGTCATGCAGCTTTCTCATTACCAGGGCTCATTTCAGCATTGATGGTGCCGGTAGGCTCACTATAAGTTGTTGAAACCTCTGGCACTAGGCTCGACAGAACAATTGTCATTTCTGGTACCTTTTGTTTATTTGTTACTAGAGATGTGGCAGTCGATGTGCTTTGGAGACCAGCAACATTGTTCTTGAGTATTTCAGCAATTGGAATTGCTTGAACAGCTAATTCCGTTGCCTTGAGCACAATTTCCTTGGCATCAGAATATTTGAGGAGCTGGAGAGCATACGAAATGTATTTGTTTGGATTGCACCAATTGGACACCCAAATCTCATTCTTTGGCCTTGCATGCATAGATCTGAACTTGAAGCAAATTTAATTGGGAGTTTGTATTTTGGGGAAATGGTAAGTGGCTTTGAACAATTTGAAGTCGGTGGGGAAGAAGTTAATCGGCGCTGACGACTACGTGGAGGTGCAGAGCTCGGGAGTGGATTCTCTAAATGGCAGCTAAATTAGGCTTGGTAGATACCATTGGAAGGAATCATCATCTTGTAATGCTGTGGGAATCGATGCTCTCTTGGCAGACCTCCGATAACAATCACCGATCGCCGCCGCAGCGGCCGAATGCTGGGGATTTTGGAGAAACGGTCAGGTGCGTGAGGGCCTTAGTTGGGGGCGCGTGAGGTGCGTTCTTTTTTATTTTCTCTGGATTAATCGTTTTTGGTTTTTGTTAGTGGAAGGAGGTATGAATTGTAAGTTATTATTATTCACTCTAGCTATAAACATTATGAATATTAATTTTACATTGCATTTTCATGTCCATGCAAAACTTTCACCCCCGAAAGTGGCAGATTCTGTTAAATTCATCCGACATATTGCCCTTTTATATCGACTTAAAATGCTGATAATGATACCATTTTTGAACTTCATTATTTAGCCATTGCTGCAGAGGGCAGATTGACCCTCTTCGGTTCAAAAACACAGAAACAAGAGCGAAACGAAAATATACATTAACAAAAGAAAATTCTTTGGCTTTTCTTCACCACCGACTTCTCTGGTGCTACTATATCATCATCATTTTAAAAAAATAAAACAATTTTATTGAAGCATCCCTTACGGACATTGGTCAAATTAATAATGAAAAATTGGACAAAAGAAATTGGACGAAAGCGGCCGCCATTGCTGATAAAGCGAAAATGGTAGGGTTTGATAAAGCCAAAGATCAAGAAACTTTTGCTGATGCGGCTGATCTTCTGGATACCCCATCAGCAGCAGAAGAGAAAAAATAAGACAAAACAGTGGCGAAGAAGAAGAAGAAGATGGGTGTGGTCAAGAAACTAGGTGCGACGGTTGGGTTTGATAAAGCGAAAGTGGCCGCCGTTGCCGGGGCAAAGGCTGTCAAGGCTGGAACCTTCAAAGGAGTCATCTTTGTTAAGAAACAATGCAAGAAAAGCGACAAAGCAAAGAAGGCCGCCATTGTTGGTTGAAGAAGGTCAAGGTTGGAACTTCGGAAGGAGTCATGTTCGTTAAGAAACAATGCAAGTAAAGAAAGTCAGTTATCGTCGTCATCCACGAGTTGAGAATATTAGTTTTGCTTATTTTAATTTAATAATCGATTTATTTGGGTTGATTTTCAGATTGAAAGTTGTGCAAATTGATCTTGGGTTTCAACCCTTCATTTAATTTTTTTTTTCAATAAATTTGTTTCAAATTTCTTCTAGTCCCCCAGGTTTGAGTTGATTGGAAAGAAAATTCGTACGAATGGTTAATTTAGCTACTGTATATGGGATTCTAGTTATAAGTCGATGAGACACTAGTGCATTCGGCAGTTGCCCAGTTCGCTGGCCGGACAAGAATTATGGTCAATCTGATCACCTCTTTTGTATGTGTAGCAAGATGAAGAATACAAATAGTTTAAAGTAACACAATCACCAGTCACTTCTCATCAAATCACTACAAGATTTTTTATTTTTTATTTTTTTTTAGAGAAAACAGGATGATACCAAATCACTACAAGGATATAGATCAAGGGGGGGCTAGTTTTTGTGAATAAAGAAAACACATTGAGACCATATACATAATCAAGTTAAATCCCTCACAATTTTTCTTTTATATTTTTTTATAAAATAAGTAGAATAAGCCTAGTATTCACAAGGTTATATTTCATGGGTATACAACCCAAATTAAGTCCTGTGCTAACCATAGTTTTACAATAGTAGGCGTTTTTGACAATTTGAGATAGGCTAGCTAGCGATATTGCCAGAGAAAAAAATAGCCGTCAGAAAAAATTATCTAAATATTTTTGAAACCATCCCTCCCTTAATCAAATTCCCTCTTTCCCTTTATCTCTCAGTTTTCTTTCTGAGTTTATCTGTTAAATAACTAATCTAATCACCCAATACCTACAATACTTTTCAAGAATTTTACGTGAAATTTAATTATACCATGAAAGTTTAGATTGTAAAATCTATGTGGACTTATACATTAAATATACAATTGTATGTTACAGGTTATCACAAAATACTAGCCCACATAAAGTGATCTAATAAAGTCAACTAAAGTTTGGACTAATAATAATTAAGTTAAAGTTTTGCCCAGTATTGTGTAGAAACCCTAAACCCCTATTTCCGATTCTATGATGGGTGGAATCGGAAACCTTATTATATATTGGTTGTGGTCCCTGGATGAGCCGTCATCTCAAATCTCTGCTCCCCAGATTCCTGCAAGGGCTTGACAGAATCATCTTGAAGACCAAACCGGATCGATGTTCTTGCCGCTACAGATTAAGGTACGCTCCTGTTTTCGTACAGTTCTTGATAATCTGATGTAAAGGTCTCGATGGTTAATGGATTTATTCCAACAAGTGGTATCAGAGCAACCTTCATGTCAATTTTTGAGACATTCGGTTAAAGTTTTGTGTTTAAAATTTGGTCATACTAATTGACGAGTCAGAATTAAACCCTAGGCCTATGGGGCCTAGAGTTATATAACTTAAAGGCTAAGTCACCGCCGAAACCTATTCTGACTAGGTTTACAAAAATAGGTTACACCACCTCTATATAAAGAGGTGGTGCCTCTCTCATAATTTATATCTTCTACCTATCTTCTACACCTTCTACAAGAGGTGGTGCCTCTCTCTCTATTATCTCTATTTCCTTATTGACTTAAGTATCGGAGAGTCTACCCTCGGGAGACACCCGAGGCTCTGTCTTGCAGGTTTTAGGCCGTCCGCCGCTGCCTAGGTCCTCATGGCCGCCCGTCCTAAGCACCGTACAAATCCAAGTTTCGTCAAGTGGCACGCTCGGTGAAACCGATTTGTTTGGTCTTCACAACCAAATAAATTTCTTAGCAAAGCACGGAATCTTTTGTATCTTTTGCAGCCACGGTGTTAATTCATTGCTCCGGTTTTGCAACTAGAAGATCTTGCAAAAAATTATCTTTGTTTGGCCGAGAAGACGTCAGTCGACAAGTAGCACAAAGAAGTTTTCGGTTGCACAAAGAATTCGAGGAGCCGCGCTTGCTCCACAGCTGATCGAGAAGAACAGTCCCTGGAGTTCAAAATTCGTCGAAAGGGGCAGAATATTCAACCGAGAACAATTCCTTAATTTGAGAATTGCCACTTAATCCCTAATAATTTTAATTATTTGGTCCCTAAAGATTTTAAAATTTTGCAGATTAGCAAGGGGCAATTTCGAAGCTTGGAGTTTTGAGAGATACATCTTTTCGAAGGGGCAACCATCCCTCGAGCACCATACTACTACTTAAAGTGTTCGAGAAGATGTATCTCGACTTTTATCTACTCAACTATTACCTTCTCGGAATCGAGGTAATAATTTCTCGAATAATCAATTTATTACGAGATCGAAGTATTTCTAAAACCTTTTCATGCTTTAATATCTGCTATCATTATCATATTACTATCATATCACGATATTTTTTTGAGCATGATCAAAGAAATCTTTCGACGAACCAACCCTCTGGGGAAAATTCTCATCACCCTGCAATGAGGAAAATCACCTCGGGGTTGCCTTCAACGAGGAAAACGTACTCGGGGCACAAACTGGAAAAAATCGCGTTATGGAAGTCCATGAAGAGCTAGCAGCGCTGAGGCCTTTGCTCCTGGAGTATGATGACTTTGAGCTTCAACTGGTAAGTTTTTTATCCCACGGGTAAGGATGGTGACTTTTACCCTAATTTAACTATTTCTTCTTGTCTCTGCAAGAAAGCAAAGTCTATCAACAGGGCTTCTTTTTGGGTCATTTTCTTCTTCTCCTCTGTCCACTGTATGAATTTTTTCTTTTTTTTTTTCTGCAGCATGAACGGCGACTTGAACCGTTCGGGCAACCGGTGGACTCTTGGTGGATTTCTCCTCTTAGGTTTTTCATTGAGGATCCTAGGACAAAACAAAAGAGAGTTAGTATGTAAATTCGTCTTTCTATTTTTTTAGTGAGGAGTCACAGTGGATCAAACGTACTTTTCCACTGTCTTTGTTAACTCTTCATCAAGCTCATCAGCTTCCTTTGAGATTGCAGGCGGTGGCGTGGTACACTCATTTTTCTCCAGCATCAGTAGACCACCCGTGTTAGAAGCAATATTCCAATCTTCAACCACCTTTGAGTTCTTCTCAACTTGTTCTGCAGCAGTGGCAATCATCTCTAGTTTTTTGGTATCACTTAATGATTTTGAAGCTAGTGCACTGGCCTTCTTATGATTTCATCGATGGAAGGAGTGGGATTCTTTGTTTCGTCAAGTGCAGATGGTACTGGATATTCTTCTACTTCTATAGTCTCATTGACATCTTTATCCAAATCAACACTTCCTGTGATATCTTCCTCAGTGTTCTTCTCCTGGGTTGTCTCATCATTGTCTGCCTGACTGGAGAAGATACCCAGGTTAAAGTGTGGGATAGTTGGGTCTTTGAATACTTTTCTTTTCCTGGTACCAGTGCTTCTCGACTTTCTGGTATAGGTGGATGTCACATCTGAATCCCTGCCGGTGGAATCTTGATTGGATCTCTTCTTTTCTGTTGTGGAGATATTCATTCCATGTGCTGCAGTACAAAGTTGGAATGTTGGATAATTAGTACGAACATACATATATATTAGGCACATTGGATAACCAGTTCAAACGAAGTGGATAATCAGTTGAAACAGGCTGGATAATCGGCAGGAACACAATGAATAACCATTTAAAGGGAAAAAAGGGGTTGGATAAGCAGTACAAATTAGACACATTGGATAACCAGTTCAAAAGAAGTGGATAATCAGTTCAAACAGGCCAGATAATCGGCAGGAACACAATGGATAACCATTTAAAGAGAAAAAAGGGGTTGTATAAAGCAATACAAATTAGACACATTGGATAACTAGTTCAAACGAAGTAGATAATCAGTTCAAACAGGCTGGATAATCATCAGGAACACAATGGATAACTATTAAAGGAAAAAAAGGGGTTGGATAAAGCAGTACAAATTAGTTGGATGACAAGTGCAATCACATCAGACAAGTATTTGTTTCATTAGAAAAATATTCATTACCTTGTGGTTGAGTTTGTTGTTCATCAACCACCACTTCTTTTGAAGTAGGCACGGATTTCCCCACTGGAAGAGAAGCCTCATCATTTGTCTGGCTCAATTGCTCCAGTCCCTGTGCTTTGTCAATTTCAATGTCTTGAAAATTTGTGGGATTAATTGGAGCTTGTACAGTGTTGTCATCAGTTTGTTGGTGCTGTTGTTGTTGTTGGTCCGCTACTTGTCGTTGCAGCTGTTCTATGATTGTTGCAAATCTGCTTTCAGCGGACTTCCATGCCATCTCGCACAATTCACAAATCTGTGCATCCTAGAGGTCTTGCTGGTCTTGCTGCTGCTCTTGTTGCTGTTGCGTTCTACTTGAAGGCGGAGGCATCTTTCTACTCATCGACACCATTGCATCTGTTAGGATCTTGATTGTTTGCTTTGCTTGTTCATCTAGTTCGATTTTTAACTCCATTTCCTTTCTCACGTATGTCTAAAACAGTTTTGCTCATCGTGAAGATCAATTGGTAGAATTTTTCATAAAGAGCAGCGAGGTCCTGCAAAAGTGAATGTAGTTAGTGGAATGTGGAGATGCTAGGTTGGATACGTAAGTTTGATCTGAAAAAAAATGGTAGAACACTACATAGACTTGCTGTGTGTTGGGGTTGGCCTGTGTATCCTCCTGTCATTCTGCCTCTGGTTGTTCATCTCGGGATGCTGCTGAGGACAGTTTCTTGAGACGTTCAAGTGTCTGAACATCGGTGAAATTGCTTCCCTGAAGTCTTAATTTGTCGTCCAGCATCTTTTGATCCCAAGATTTGATCACAGGGAATGACCTCATATGTGCTCTCTCATACTCACACCTGTCAATGTAGCACAACTAACCCAAAAAAAAAAAGAAAAAGAAAAAAAGTTGGTGTTAATGATATCAGTACAAGCAAATTGGATAAATATTGCAAGCAATATGGATAACTAGTAAAATTTGTACGGATATGGTAAGTACCAGGAAAAAAGTGATTGATGTGGTGAATGGTTTCCCATCGTGGTGACTTTTGCATTTCTTCTAAGGCTGTATAAGTACGCGCCCTCTTGCCGGAACTAGGGATCCTGTCCGACTCCGAGTCTATCTCACGCTTAACGCGTCCGTTACCCCTCGAACTCTTACCCGCGTTCTTAGTCTTATCTATTAGCCTTCCCGGGCTAGGACAGTCCCTGAAATCAAACCTAAGGCTAAGGGAACAGGCGGATCTCGAATTAATTCCTGTATTGGATTCTTCTTAAAAGATTGCACTTTATATTAAAACTCTTTGTTTGTTGTATCGCACCACCCCTACCAGTAATAGTGGAATCCGTTCTGTTCTTGCACCACAACCGTACGAGATCGCTTCGTGCTTGTCTTGTAAAGGGATTGACCTAAGGCTTAATGGACGAGTCAGTTAACACAACAATCCTAGCATAAAAATCAAGGCGTGCACCCTACTCAACTTCCTATTGGCAAATGCCAAAGCACCAAGAGCGGCAACTCCAAGTTCTTTTCTTTCGAACCTCAGCCCGGGAAAAGAGCTAAGCGCGCTCTGGGAGAGGGGACTTCTCTTTCATTCACGGGGACCCACCAAATCTGCGCATTTCTATAAGTCATGGTCACATGTCTTGTGAACATTCAACCACCAAGAGTAAAGGTCAAAGGAATGCTTTTCTCGCCTGAATTTCTTCTTTTGATTAGATATTATCCCTTCTCTGCTTCCTAGCCCAAGGGCGATAGAGACTCTACTTAGTGAGTTGCCTGAAAGCAGAAACCCCAAGGTTAGCCGGATCGAGATGTCATCCTTTCACCAGTGCATCAATCACATATTGACACCAATTGTATTGTGTCACTTCATTGATGTTCACGAGGGACTTCAGGATGTTCATTGTGATCCTGGAAGTGGTGTTTCCATGTAGGAATGTGCTCACAATGAAGACCAGGAAATCTCGTTTGAAGTCATCACCAAAATCTTTTTGAACAGCAATTAATTGTGCCGCTGTGGATCTCGTTGGCAGGAATTTATTACTGTATCTCATTCTTTTCTTGAATGCATCCACCATCTCAGCGTGGTCCGTTATAGCGGGATCATTCTATTTCAATTCTTCCACTGGTTTGGGTCCACGAGGAAGATCAAGTACAACAACAACATCTTCCTGTTTGATATCCAGTACATTGTTCCCATTCAATGGGACTTGTCTCGCACCGGTCTGGAAATTGTTTGCCAGAAAACTACATAAGGCTGTTGGAATATTTTTGATTTTGAGATCCAACAAGGCACCAAATCCCATATCTCTGATAGCATGCCTTTGTAGTTGGCGATAATCTACCACATCTAGCTCTTCCTTAAGATCTGTTGGTTTATTGATTTCAGTGATGAGTTGGAAGAGATGGTTTGGTGTCATCCTGGTCTCAAATTTCTTGACAAAATCTTCAGAACTGATTGGCTGTGGATCTTGACCAATCATCAGTTTGTTGTTCTCAGGTTTCGTTCTTTTCTTTTTGGGCTTTTTATTATTGTCATTAGCCGAGTCATTGTCATCAGCAACCACAAGTTGCTTTGGATTTCCTATCGGTGTGCTCTTCTTCCTCTTTGGTTTTTCTCCACAAGTTGTGGGGCCTTGGACTTTGAACAGGGGATTGTTCTTCTTGGGTTGATTTTTGATTTTTAAATATGGTCAGTGTTCCTTCAGGGAGCTCCATTATTTTCTCTGGTTCAGGATCCGGTGATCTGTCTGGGTTGCAGTTGAGGTCGTGGCTTGCGCTGATCCACTCGTGCCTATATTTTGTTCTAGCCTCCTTTAGGGCACTATTGGCATTAGACAATCATTAAGAAGTCAGTGGACAAAACAGCAGGATATGAAAAGGAGCAGTAATCAAAAAAGGAGTAACCAGTATGAAATGGGTGGATAACCAGCAAATAATGTATGGACATGTAGCCACATAAAAGCACATCTAAAAAAAATAATGGATAACCAGTTTACTCCCTGCGGATAACCAAGATAAAATGGGTGGATAACCAGAAACAAAGTTTGGATAAGCACCCCATAGCACACACGCAGGAAAACTTGGATAACCAGTTCAGATATATAGTGGATAATCAGTTCAGTTTGTCCATGCCACATAGATTCAAATGTAAAAAAAGCATAGATAATCATTTTACAACTTGTGGATAACCAGTTTACAACTTGTGGATAACCTGTATGAAATGGGTGGATAACCAGCAAATAATGTATGGACATGTAGCCACATAAAAGCACATCTAAAAAACAATGGATAACCAGTTTACACCCTACGGATAACCAGTATAAAATGGATGGATAACCAGAAAAAAAGTTTGGACAAGCACCCCATAGCACATACGCAGGAAAACTTGGATAACCAGTTCAGATATATAGTGGATAACCAGTAACAAAAAAAATACAAAAACATGGATAACCAGTTCAGTTTGTCCATGCCACATAGAATCAAATGTAAAAAAAGCATGGATAACCAGTTTACAACATGTGGATTACCGGTTTACGACTTGTGGATAACCAGAATGAAATAGGTGGATAACAAATATGCTATGTGGATAACCAGTATGAAATAGATGGATAACCAGCAATGATGGCATGGACAACCATCACATAGCAAATGCAGGAAACCATGGATAACTAGTTCAGATCTAGTGGATAAACACAAAGTATTGCTGGATAATCAAAAAAATAGAATCCCGGAGTAATATACTTACCAGTGAAGCATGTATAGATGAAGGAGAGCTTGAGATGGCCGGACGTAGGGTTTCTTGCCGTCATCTGTGTGTGTGTGTGTTTGTGAAAGAACAAACTGACAAAAGGAAAAAAAGCAGGAGAAGATGAAGTTATCAAAATCGTCTTCCAGCGTAGGTTTTCTATCGATTTTGTGTAATTTTGTAGTGGTGGTCAATTTTGTATTTGCCCTAAAATGGAGAGTTTCCATCGACTGTGTGTTTGTGTGTGTTTATGCGTGAGGATGAAATGGATGAAAACAATTTGTGTGTGCATTTAATGTAAAGATAAAAACAGTTGAGCGCGTGTTACGCGTGTGTTTAGTGGGGGGTATATGGTACACCCAGGTGCACTGGATACGGACTAAAAAAAAAATCAAAATCTTTCCTCATTTCTCCAGCCGTGTATATTGCTCAGATTCTTTCACCAAATATACATCTATGGGCATTTTTTCAAACCATAGCAAATTGATTCATAAAATTGGCAGTGATTAATGCATTGGTGCTCCTTCGGGTGATCAATTCAATTTGAGTCATAAAAAAAATCTAATTTAGTTTGTTTTTCTCAACATTATAAAATAATAAATTCAGTTTTTGATTATAGTTTCTTTTATTTTTCCATGTGCTATTTCATCAAGCATTTTTGCTCTGTGTTCTCCAGATTTTTTTCCCCTGAAGAATAAAATCCCATTTAGATTGGCAATTACCTAGAGACGATGACGAATAACTTATTCCATTTGTTATATATGCTAATGCTATGTCTAATTCTTTGGCTTGAAAGAGTTCTTTCTTATCTTTTTTTGATTTTGGCTCTAACCTACACGATGTATAAATGGGAGAATCAACCAGACCTAAAAGCATAAAACTCAATGAATTTTATAACTCAAATTGAATTGATTATCCAAAAGGGTACAAAATGAATTCATCACGTCAATTTTATAAACAAATTTGTTATGATTACCTTGCAAAAATCTTGACGGATGAATATTTGCGAAGTCGCGTGATGAAACGCGGTTGGAGAAGTGAAGAAGGATTTTGGTTCTTTCTTCTACTCCAACGCGACAGGGTCAAATAAAAAGGGTAATTACGGTAGTGTATAAATAAATTAATTTTATAATTTTGAAGAAATAATTTACTGCCCTTAATTCATATCATGTAAACTTTGTACTCTTTTTATTAATTAAAAGCTTCCCACTGCCCTTAATCCAAAATTTCCCATAATTAATTAGTTCAAAATACAAAGATGACAGTTATGTGTGTTTTGATTTCATGCGGGTAATGATCAGTCTAAATGAAGGTCATTATTTGGCCGAAATCAAAATTTGCCTGTGGTAATATATATGTGACGATTATTATGTTTTTCCATGTGAATAGTAAGTCGGTCCAAAGAAAGGCTTATTATTTGACAAGAGTGAATTGTCAATATTTGATTATTACACCAAGAGTACCACTTGCAAATTGACGTTTCTGTCCAAAGATTAAACCCAATGTTGCATTAGGTATATGTAAATTGAAATGCCAATTTTGAGTTTATTAATCATGTTAAATTTGATTTTAAATGTGAGCTTGTATTTAGTTATTTTAGGTACAGTTGATTCTGCTATAGCTATAATATCTGCTTCAGATAACTCCATTAGAATTCAAGAACTAGAGGCAAACATATAATTTTAGAAACATTAATGAGCACTATAAAATAATGCAAACTTGTTCCTATTATAAAGTATTTTGTTAAAAAGAATAAGGTAGAAATGAGTATTCTTTCTGGGTAACATGTTTCCATAAGGTATAAGGAAGATGGGAAAATAAGGAAATGTATTATTTAAAAGTATAAGATTTAAGGTACTAAAGTTATATCTGATCTCTCTCGTACACAATGAGA